TTATGTTGTGACATTACGTTATGAAATGAGTGAGTGAGTGAGTATGGTTTTACGCCGCTTTTAGCAATATTTCAGCAATATCACGGCAGGGGACACCAGAAATGGGCTTCACACATTATACCCATGTGGGGAATCGAGCAAACGCTTTAAAACCGAGGCTACCCGACCGCCCCCGTTATGACTTAACACTAACATTGCGTGTTAGCTGGGTAGGCACTGTGCTAAATACTCAAATAAGTCAAGTCTTTAACACACAGAAAGAACAGTTGCGATTACCAGAGTTACTTTCATTTTAGCATCATCAAGAAGATGCCTCGGATTTGATTAAATTTGATTTCATGTGATCACAGAGTATTTACAGCAGCAGTTTTAAAGCTGGAGCTGCACGACTGTATTATGACAAATACCCTCCCCGCATTTGCCACCATAGCTTCCATTAAGTCAATTTGTTGTATAACACTGCAAATAGCTATGTTCCAAAGCCAGTCTGTAAATGGTCAAGTCCAGTAATCAATATCATGAGCATCGATCTGCGCAATTGGGAACCGATGACATGTGTCAACCAAGCCAGCGAGCCTGACCACCCGATCCGTTAGTCGCCTCTTACGACAAGCATGGGTTACTGAAGGCCAATATTCTAACCCGGACCTTTTTGCATTCAAGAATATTTTGCTCAAACTGTGTGAGTGAGTGAGTGAGTGAGTGTAGTGTGATACCACGTTCAACAGTATCCTATCAATGTTACGACTGGAACACAAGAAATGTGCTTCACGTTTTGCAAAAATGTTTGGACTCAAACCTGTGTTTCAGTTGCGAGGTGCTAACACTTTAACCACTTGTCTCCCCACGCACATGAACACATATTAGGCAAGTAAAAACGTATGTAACTTTGTTTTCTTGTGTTGTCATGTTGCCAAGCAATAGGCTTTGTACGTGCGTTGGGAACGAAATGACATGTCAACCAAGTCAGCAAATATGATCATCTGATCCCATTAGTCGCCTCTCATTAGACCAATTCTGACACAGATCTCACAGGTAGCCAAATGACTAATCAGCTGTGAAAATCTGTGAGCATGCTCATTCATGTATGACAGCCAATCCAGTGACTGACATCATGACCACTGACCTATCAACACTGTAAGCAAGCACTGATCCATGTTCTTGGGGTACAATGACAAACCAATAAAGCCAATGAGACACCACCTGATCAACTGGAGTCAAATTAAATGGTGCTGCACATTATTCCTATATACAAAGTTAGAGGTGCAATGGAGGCACCTATTTTACTCGGAAAGAAATCATAGCTGTCAAATGGGTCCAGAGCAATGGTAATAAACTGGGGTGAATTACACTTTAAGGATGCACAAAACATTCAATGCTCTTAGGACTTTTAGGAGTGAGTGAGAGAGTGAGTGAGTATGGGTCTACGTCACTTTTACCAATACTTCAGCAATATCATGGCGGGGGACACCAGAAATGGGCTTCGCACATTTTACCCATGTTAGGAATCGAACCTGGGTCTTCGGCGTGAAGAGCGAACGCTTTAACCACTAGGTTACCCCACCGCCCCTGTAATGTAGAGGAAGGTGAGACAGGCAAGGCAAGTGAGGCACACAAGGCAGGTGAGGCAGGTGAGACAGTTAACAGGATGGACAGAAGTGTCAGTGCAGGTGTTAAAAAAAGGTACTGTGCTTCATAGTCGATGTCCAGATACTGAGGGTTACCTCCCTTTTCCAGTGGTCACTGAATGGTAAACCAGTGATGTTGAAGTGTGTTGTGATCATGAATTGACGTAATTAAACTAAATTGAGACGCAAATAATTAGTATTCAGACTAAGACTTGAACCTACAACACTGATAAGTTAGTTCCACATTGAGGGCTGTGTCTCTCTTACAGAACTAAATGTGCCTGCTGGTTTGTTGTTTAATGCCACATTCAGCACTGTTCCAGGCATATGATAATACTGTGAATAACTAAACCTGCACCAGATAATACAGTGATTGATATTATGAGCGACTGAGCGAGTTCGGTTTACGCAGCTTTTAGCAATATTCCAGGAATATCATGGTGGCGGACACCAGAAATGGGCTTCACACAATGTACCCATGTGGAGAATCAAACCCGGGTCTTCAGCATGACGAGCAAACGCTTTAACCACTAGGCTACCCCACCGCCCCGATTGATATTATAAATATCAACATACATATGGCTTACATAAATTTCAAACTCAGAAAAGCTGGCAAATATATTTGCCGTTTTTTATCTTTGGAGTACAAGAGTGATAGTGTCGCTTGCATCTGTAAACATGACGCTGACACAGTTTAACTGCAGCAAAGTCCTACTGAAAATGCCAAACCACAACAGAGGTATGTATAATAGTATACAGGTATTTGCTACAGACTTGAAACACAACCTATATAGAAAATCCTAAAATGAAGGCAAAGACTAGGGCATCAAACAAAATCAGTGGAGTTTTATACCTTTGAATCATGTTGGGAGTTCGGATAAAGAGTTAAGTGATTACCTCCCTTAGAACATATCCTCACTTTGTTGAAAGTTGGCTCATGTTCTGTAAGTCCACCGTCAGTATGGTATACCGGTAACTTACACTGCATGTGATAAAAACTCAGCAGTCACCTCTCTTTACCTAGGACAGCGATGTGATCAAGAGCTTCAAGCTCAATCCAGTGATTAACATCATGAGCATCGATCTACGCAATTGGGATACAATGACTGTGTCAATCAACTCAGCGAGCCTGACCACCCGATCCCGTTAGTTGCCTCCTACGCAAGCATGGGTTGCTGAAGATCAATTCTAACCCGATCTGCTTCAAGACAAGAGTCAGCTGAAAGTGATTTACACGAAGCAATGATCAGGGTTACATCCAGGCTTCCACCTTGCCCTACAAAACTAAGGGTCCAGAAGACCCGAAGTTACCAATTTCAAAGGTGTTTATGAAGAACCAACTGCCTCTCCCCTCACTTTCAAACAATTTTGAGTATAAACTGCAAATGTTTTTAGGCATTTTCTGTACATCGTCCTCTAAGGATGCCTAGATACCCCATGATTGTCTCTCCACCATAAGATTTGCAATTCATTTTCAGAGTACTCAGGACTTGTCGTTGAAAATACCTCAAAGTCACAAGGTGTGTATGTACATGAGTTGCATATTTCTTCTCAGCCCTCCACAAAGACCAAAAAGAACAGGGCCCCGTTTCATAAAGCTCTCATAGCGCTACGACTATCGTAAGTCAATATTACTGTATAGGAAGTACAAATGCTACAAGAAAAGTTACGAGATCTTTAGCTTACAAGAGCTTTGTGAAACGGGGCCCTGGTATCTGACTCTTGATCTTTACAGTCAAAATAAATGCAGCGCTAAGCAGTGGGTAAATGCGCAGTGAACTGAAAGAAATATCGATTAATTATTTTTTCAGCTCAAGCTGCCACGGCGGATAAACTGAAAAGAAGATCTATGTTGCACATCAGGTGTCGTAACCTCCACTGTATCTGAATAATCATGTGACCACCTGCATGTGTGACGCCAAATGTCGACAACCTTGAAAGAAACAAAACTTCAGCAGCTCAATGGATAAACGGCACAGAAGATGATAAAATGAAATCACAACTCATACAAAAACAACTATTTCTGTTATATGCTACGTACAATTGGTGCAGTGTTATTTTCTTAATTATTTCCATGAAATACACTGTCAATCCAGCCCTGATGCATCATCATCAAACAAGCAGCTTGCACTATCTCTATGTTTTCTTTAACATTCGGCTCAGGCTAATAACATAACACTCACAAGAAAGACCACTCAATTTCTTTCTGATGACCAACTAATGATATTGACATGAAAAGGATCACGTGGTCCTTCAAGGAGCAGTATATACTGGGTAATAATGTCATCTGAGGCAAAAGCAGTTCAAAACTTTACACCTACTGCATAGGTATTCGGCACAGGGCCCTGTTACACAAAGCTGTTTTAGTGCTGTGATGATTTAACTCGCATACTTTCACACTAACACTTTGTGTAAGAGGCTCCAGGTGTCTATATGCAGTAGATGTAACTGTACCTCTCTGACACTACCTGGACAGGGGAAATAAACGGAAGTTCTTGAAACAGATTTTAACAGATATATTTTTGTATCAGGAGAAAAAAACAACGTTTCTAAACAAATCTTGTAGAAATTGAAAAGAAAAGGCTGGAAACCATGGTACAATGTTTTCTTGTAAAGTGCACAATCAGAATAAATCAAACAATGTGCCTGATAATTAAAGTCTGATGCTGCACCTGATATATCATGTGTGGGCTTCTGTGAACATTGATGGGCTTGATTTACAGGATGAATGCTCAGAAAATGTCTATATAGGTATTTCATCAAGCAAAGGCAGATGGTGACAATTGCAGAGCTTTGCTTCGTCTCTAGGTACTGGGCAATATGAAAGGAAGCAAGGCAGGTGTTTTATAGAGAAGTGAACAGTGAACAGTGAAATGCAAAGTTAGGCCTTAAATTTCTCTTTAGCTGATTTACAAAAAATATGGAACAAAAATTAAAGCAGGTAGCTGAACTTCAAGATAAAACACGATTTTACATGGCAAGATATTATGTGTCCTCTCGACTTATGCATTAGAATAAAGATGTGTTATGTATCATTTCTTTCAATCAGTGGCAATAATTACTTATCAATTTCATTTCTCCTGACTGTAAAACAGAGTTAGCATCACCTTCCACCCACCCATCAGAAAAGCGTTCTGCTTCTTTTTTCTAATTTCAGTTTTTGTTGTTGATCAGTCTCATAAACCAACTGAAGAAATATATAAGGCCTTGAATTATAGTTTATGCACAAATAAATTTCACTAGAGAAAGGACTTGTGTGTTCTCACGTCCATGTTTGTTACAATTTACCTGGCCACAAACCTGTACATGCGGCAAGGTGTTAAAACATTCAGGTGTTCTACAGAGTAGAGTGGGTTATCTCCCTTGACTTACCACTGTAGTGGATGGGGAAGATACCCCTGTAAAGGTGGCACTGTCGTGCAGTCTGAGCGTTGCGTGTGATCGCCAGGATTGGGCAGCGGGGGCCGTAAGCTGACACGAGGTAGGCAGATCTGTGGAAACCAGTTTGAAACTAAGCACACTTTCAAAAAAAGATTTAGAAGGTATTTTACAGACATTTCCTTTTTACTCATTTACAAGGGGGCAACAAATATTACTGTCTGGACATTAGATCAATTTTGATAAACAGAAATGAACTGAATTAAAACCCTCCAACAAAAACCAACAAGAAAAAACAAGATAATGCTCAGACCAATGAGGGTTCTTTTGACATCACATATGAACCAGGGTTTTATCTTGACTTGCAAAAGTGGGGGTCCACGTGACCCCCATCAATAATTTTAACAGGTCCTTGCTGTTAATATGAGGGTCCTGTAAAGTATTGAAATGGTGAAGTGTAGTGTACGTTCAGATAATTACTTCAGAGCCTGGAATGAATCAGTGGTCATGTGGACAGTGGTCCTGACTGATGGGTGAAATGACAGACACAGATAACTACTCTTGATGTGCTGAAGGTATGCTCTGGGTATTTTTGTGTCTCTCTCTGGATACAATATTTGCATGTGTGCATACTGGGCTCATAATTGTGCACTGCATAAAACCTTGTCATTGTTTTTCACTTGACACCATCTGCCACAGACATGTGGTGTCTGGTCTACACATTGCTTCACTGTCGAGCAAATTGAGGAGTTCATGCACACTTTATGCACACTTTATGCACAGATTAGTGCTTTTTTGGCTCCGTAACTTACTGGGGCCTCGTTTCATTACCCAGGGTTTGTAGTACTTCGTACAGATAATCAGCCATCAAATTTAAGGTCTTTTTAGGGGCTTTTCAAGGCCATATCAACAATTTTAGGGAACTATAGAAACAGATACAACATAGTAGGGCCACATATTGCACTGATTCTCATACTGCGATATATTACAATAATTTAAGCGACATTGCAATACATATTGTGATGTATTGACTGGAAGGTTTCTGAACAAATGTGCATACATCATAAGTTCATAATAGCTCTGTGGGGGATATGATCTTCTTAGATGCTGTTACAACATACATTCAGGTTCTCCGTCCCCACTGTGTATGGCTGCATGCCAATGGTTTACAGATAAATATAATGATTTAGAGGATAATGTGGAATGTTTAATTAAGGTTTTTGCGAACATAAAGGTAGCAGTATAACATGATTTTCATGGTCAGTGTTGTTTGCTTCAACAGAATACACTTCAACGCAGTATGTAATTATTGTTACTGTATGTCAGTGATTCATTCAGATTCAACTCCAATATAAACATGTATTAACATTAACTATGCAAAATGCAACAAAACCATGATTTAGGTGAACTACTTGAGCTTAAAATCTCATGTGACCTCCAATAACTAAGATGATAGATCCTTGACTAGACTGTCATTATACAGAGATACAATTGATAAGATATGCCTCATTATGAAACAAACAAAAGTAACAAAATAATGTGAATTGTGAAATGGTCAGTCAAAGCCAGAGGCTCTATTAATACGTCCAAATAAAAGATTGGTCCATTTTAGGCCACTTAATTCCTCAAAATGTCACCACTGAAATCCACAAAACTTTTGTCACTTTTGGGACCCCTAATAAGGATCCAGTTGTAAAATGTTACATGAAACCAACAGAAATAAAAGTATATTTGGCACTTTTCATGCACATTTGTTGCTATGGAAATCAAGGGCAGATAATTCAAAGGGGAGCTAACTCTGGATAACCCAATATATCGGAGAATCTGAACTATATCAGAACAACGTAGTTAGATGAATAAGACAGAAATAACTCTTTCCTACATCGTTAAACTGAAAAAAGTTTTGCTTCATGATGAAGATTAATTAACACCTGTCATTGCAGGGTATTTTTAATATGCATTAGCTTCCTGTAAAATCATATCTTGACAAGTATTGCTAAATATATGGCCTTTCGAAGGTATTCCAGTGGCATTTAATGCTGTTTCAAGGCTAAAACGAAGTTAGGGCCATTTTAGGATAATATGTCAACATTTCAGGCTTTTCCAAGCCTGTGCCAACCCTAACTAAAAGTTAGGCACATGGCCGGCCACAGCACCATGCATTTGTTCACTGATCAAACAGCAAACAAGCGAACATAGTGGTACATTATCCACTTTCAAAGCTGAATCTGAACCCAAGGACTCTGATGGCATACCCAATGAAACCCTCACCTGCCCGAGGTTGTGATGACGATGATGGCAGCGGCCATGGATGAGAAGGAAGCCTCAACGGCTGCGATGGCGATGGTGTGAGCAGCGTCAGTGAACATGGGAGTCTCCCTACGGAGTTCCTCAAACAGCTGGTTGTGGAATACTGCCGACTCTGCTTCTCTGCAGATCTACAACAAGCAAAATCAGCAAGTAATTATATATCCTGACGTAAGAAATATTTGATAGTACAGATAATCTGTAATTTCTTCCTTCCTTCCTTCCTTAATTGTCCTCACTGCATACTGATGTTTATTGAATGTTCAGAAAACGTAAGACAACCTTACCTTAAAGTTAACTCTGAACACGATACATTTATTGAGGAGCATAACCACATAAAGAGTGTGTGGGTGATGGATTTGGTTTAACTCCACATTGATCACTGTTTCAGTCACGTCATGGCACATCAGCATGGTGTGGGAGGAAAGCCTGAATTGGTGCAGGGCTTACACGTTTACCTACCCGTGAAGGTCTGGGTTAGAATGAACCTTCAGTAACCCATGCTTGTAGTAAGAAGCGACTAAGGGGATCGGGTGGACAGGCTCGCTGACTTGGTTGACACATGTCATCGGTTCCCAATTGCGCAGATCAATGCTCAAGCTGTTGATCAGTGGATTGTCTGGTCCAGACTCGACTATTTACAGACCATCGCCATATAGCTGGAATATTGCCGAGTGTGGCGTAAAACTATACTCACTCACTCACACGTTTACCACTTTTGTGAAGCCTGCAAGCACAGGTGTAGTGTTGAAACAAAACCCTGGTTAAACTGGCTTTCAAACCAACAAGGTTCTGGCATGCATAGCAAAACTGACCCCATATCTTATGTGCAGTTTCCCACAACCTAGCAATGTGCCATAACTACGCACAAGTGGACAGAATAGATGCAGAAAGTCATACAGTGTCTCAAGACAAGTGCTGAGCTCGACATGATGTGAAATGGGTGAGGTTTACTTACATGGTGCATCATTTTCACTGACTCGAGAGGGTAGGTTCCCTTGGCTGTCTCCCCAGACAACATCACACAATCAGCACCTCAAGGACGGCATTAGCTACATCACTTGTCTCTGCACGGGTGGGACGGGGTTTCTTCACCATACTCTCCAACATCTGTTAACACAATCAGGCTATAGTATACATCTGATGATCAGATCATCACAATCCTACTCTCAAACATCTGCTCACAGAACGTGACTTTCACTACTGATGTAAACGGAAGGGACATGCCAAGAAATGGCATGGTATGTAAGGGCCTTCTTTGGACAGCTGATTGAAGGAACTGAAAATCTTTGATAACATATTTTCACATTAATGACAATTGGATTCGTTCTTTTGGTTATAATGACACTTTCATCATTATTCGAGTTTTAATATGTGTCAGTTTCACGAGGGAGAAAAACCAGAAGCTGTTTTCCACTTCAATTAAACCCACAATAATTTGTGGCTCAAAAACACCTACTAACATATTCGTGTTGAAGTGGGATTCCGAAACAGCCATAATGTCGATGTCTGGCATGCTGAAGGGGCACAATTCTGTACAGAGAACTGCCGAACCTTCAATTACTGGACCACCCGTAGCAGTAATTTATAGTAGAAAAGTTAGTTGTCAGTTACACAAGATTAATCATTCAAAGTTTCCTCAAACAACAATTTTGGTAATTTTAAGTGGAAAGAATGAGTCCCTTTCTCACTGCCCACCCATTTTTCTAGAGGTGGCAGTTTAGTCTAGTAGCTAGAGTATCTGGCCCCCATTTCTCGAAACAAACTTAAGTTTTTACTCAAATCTCAAACTGAGTTCACAATTTGAAACAGCTGAATTTTTAACTCACCTGCATTTTTTAAATACTAAAGCCTAAACAAATAAAGTATTCTATCCATCAAACTCAAATTATCTTCTATAGTTTGAGTTTAATACCGATTTCAGTTCATTCTGTGAAATGCATTTTCCTGCGTTTTCTCAAATTTGAGTAAAAGCTCCAACTTAAGTCAAAACTCAGACTTAAGTTTGTTTCGAGAAATCGGGGCCTGATTCTCATGCCAAAGAACCAGGTCCCATTCCTCCAGGTGTAAAGGCCATTTCTGTGTTACACGCCATCATATAGCTGGAATACTGCTAAAAGCAGCGTAGACTCACTGATTTAACTCTTATGGAAGGGCATTTCTGACTGTTGCTACACAGTATTATTTTAATGACCTGGATCCGGTTGTATCATTGCTTCATTAACTAATGTCAACATTAAACCCTTATGATACATTAAATCCTTAATGCAGCATTAGTTAATGGCAACGTTAAAAACGGTTGCATCAAGACTTATTAGCGTATCATTATCTAATGACGTCCTAATGTAAATATTTTCATTAAATTCGGGGATTCCCCTAAATTTTTCCCACAATTCCGCGACGTAAACAGGTAAGCGTTACTCTAGGTCGTCTGTCAAAATGGCATCTTTACGGCTAAACCTCGGAACAAAAACAAACATTTCGTCAGCTGTGAAGAAACACGTCTAAATAATTCTGAAACGTCGCCGATAAATCTAGAATCGGTTGGGATGTTTTGGAAAATACACGAACACGAACCCCGAAGTGAGCTTTCCGCCATATTGGATAGTGTTTACAAAATCAAGTTTCACTAAGGCCAGTCATATGCATGGCTGAATTCCCTATAACATCAAAATGGTCTTTGTATATTTCATAATCAGTTGTGACAAATGCATCGCTAAATTCCTCATAGTCATACAGTTTTTGGACATCAGTTTGTCTATTCGTAGCATGCATGAGCTCAATACTTTTAGAATATGCACGGAAAGAGTATTGTAGCAAGAACTAGAAAATTAAAAACAGATACAATACTGAAATCGGCATTTCTGACTTTTTCAATGAAAACAAATAACCATATGCAGATAGTCAGAATGTTTCCGATTACTTACATCATACATTTATGGGCACCTATATCCACGAAGTCGCCATTTCATGAGAAATCTGTCATCGGTAGTGATGTCATACGTCAACATTGTTGGACATATGTGGCAATTTCTTTGAGATGAAGGTCGGTTGAATAAGAGTAAACACAATCACACTGTCCTGCGGATTACACTTTTATTATTAATGTATACTTTGCGTATCGTTGACATATGGTTTCATGAAACTAACTTCATTATCAACATTTAGTATTTTAAACCTAAGTAAAACTGACACAATAAATAAAAAGGATTTATTTATATCATGAAATGTATATGTGCACACGTTTTAAAGGATATGTCTTGTTCATTGAATTTGTTTATGTTGTGTTATAGACAAAACAATGGCGTATAATCATTGTCCAGGTGCGCGTTTGTCACAAATGTTTTGAGTATCATTGTTTTTGATAAATTCCGTGAATAAAGCATCACGAAAATATAGTGTCCATATTGACAGTAAATTCTCGCCACGTGATCTGAGTTGCAATGGCTTGGTATGAAGCATAGCGGAGTGAGGCCCCCTAATCTTTATAAGCTTACATGAACTTTATGTAGCCATTTGACGTCATAGGGGAAAATCCATTTTCAACACATATACAAGATTGAGTGTATAATGTTATATATAAGAACATAAACTAATTTAATACATACCTATGTCATTCAGGTATAGGACATATAATACTCTACATTTCTGTGTAATTTTATAGCTGTAGGTAGATCCAGTCGCGATAAAGCGAAATTCAGGAGCAATGTTCACTTTTCCAGTAAGTTTAATGACTCTCTACTGATACCCCAATACCTTCCTTAAGTTAATGATGCTAATGACAACACGGCGCTTTCAAACAATAGACTGGCGAGGGGTTCCGTTATCCAGTCATACTAGACTCTGCATCTGTCTACTTTTCAAACTGAGTTTATACCATGAGATAGGACATATAATACTCTACATTTCTGTGTAATTTTATAGCTGTAGGTAGATCCAGTGCGGCGCAAACGAAATTCAGGAGCAATGTTCACTTTTCCAGTAAGTTTAATGACTCTCTACTGATACCCCAATACCTTCCTTAAGTTAATGATGCGCTAATGACAACACGACGTCATTAAAACGTTAGTACAACAGAATTTAATGATACATTACTTAATGAACGTTTAATGGCACGTTAATGCCTCATGATACAACCGGGTCCTGTACAACAAACCTACATTATAGCTGAAATGAGCGGAATTATCATGAAACCGCCCACTAGTTATCAGAAATGAGCGGGTCGCTGCAAATGATAATGGCCCACTGATTCCTTAACAAAGGGCCATTATTAGTTCTGCTGTCAAATGATGTCCAAATACATGTGGAGTTGAACATGTTGACATGACTTACGGTTCGTTTGACATCATGTCGAGTTTACCTGACATTCTGGCTCCAAATCCTTATGCCCCGTATGTAGGTAATGTTAGCTTCCTTGCTGGTGCAAATGTCAGTAATTGCACAATAAACAATCATTGGACAATGCACAATCACTGGACCTAATAAGAACGCTGAAAACTGATGTTATGACTTGGCAATAAAATGGCAGCTTTGTTGTCCGATATAGATCTAAAGAAGCCCAAGATCGAATGATCGAATGTTGTCACACTCCATAATGACGTCATAAATCCTGTTCCATGACCTAACAGTGTTATGTCAACAGGATTTTGTGAGTTGTTTGAAGGAAACTAACATTTTAATTTATGATACCATTTTGTCTTTTCTAAACACAAATTCTATCCATTTTAGCTATAATAACGGTAGCTGTTTTTCAGGGCATTATCATTTGCAGAAGCTCACGATCTTGCCAACTACCCTCCTTTGTCGGGGAGTTATTTGAAAACCAAGGGCTTCTGCAAATGATAATGCCCTGAAAAACAGCATTACCCCTACAGTACTGTGGACAAAGCTTACCTGCAGTTCCCACTGGGGCTTCAACACACAGATTGTATTATGAGATGGAATCAGACCCTACCTGTGTGGCACAGATGACAGGTTTTCCAGCACGGTTACATCGGCCTATCATCATCTTCTGGGCCAGGAACACTTTCTCTGCTGGAATCTCAATACCCAGGTCGCCACGGGCAACCATCACACCATCGACCTCCCCCAAGATCTCATCGAACCTGGAGACAAAGACATGGTTTGTTAATGAATGCATCAAGTCCTAGATTAGGTAATCCAGCCATCTTAATGACAACATCTAATCCTGAACATTTGCAAAATCTTTCTTTTTTTTCTAATAGATTATTCTAATCAGATAGTTAGTGATTCCAAATGACAGGGTGCTATGTATTCACCTGAATGACATGATTGAATCCTGACCATTTACAATATCTTTGGGAAAGATCTGGAAGATAATTTCTATTTTTCTTTCACAAAGCGATTTTACCTTTTCACTCCCTCATGGTTTTCAATCTTGGCGATGATCCTGATGTTCTTGCCTTCCTCCCCAAGAATACTTCGGATCTCCTTAATGCCAGCGCCACTTCGGATGAAGGAAGCAAATACCATATCGACCTAGGAACAAACAACCAGGTCAGAAATGGAAGCCAATCAAACAGATCAGGTCAGAAATCAACATTAATATTCTGTCATTCAGCTAAGGCAAATAAATACTATATAAACAAAATATTAAGGTCTGTCTAAAATTTTGTGAGAGAGTTGTTTATTAAACATTAACTTCGGTTAAACAGGGATTGGGATAGAGAACTTTGACAGTGGGCCATTTTCAGGATTATTAGCCATTTTCTGAATTTAGAATGGGCCACTGCCCTTGTAACTATAGTAAACTTCAAATTTTTAATGGGCCATTTTTTATTCTAATGTGCAAAATGGCCCAAGGCCCCTGCCTTTCCCAATCCCTGAGTTAAATCAGCTCTTCTAATCAAAGGAGGTTATACTGATTTTCAAAATAATAGGGTGCTATTCATTCACCACCATTTAAATTTTTTGACTGCAACGAAATAGACTGTCCCCCGAAAACATCAAACATACTGAAGGTTTATCTTACTTGTATTATGAAACCATGGTGCTTGGAATTAACAGGGTGAATAAAACATTCACAACAACATGCTACCTTTATTACTTGATATTGGAAACTGTGTATGCTGTTTAGAGATACAGAAAATTTATATACTTGTTTGAATGTTTTGGTCACTCATTTAGAATTTACAACCTTCAATACTGACTGGTCTTCAGCAAAAGCTTGTCAGAAGGAGCGACTAATGGGATCGGGTGGTCAGACTTGCTGACTTGGTTGACATGTCATCATATCTCAATTGAGTAGATCTATGCACATTAGGATTGGGTATCGCCAAAATTTTTGTATTGCGATATATTGTGATATGTGTTGGCGTATTGCAATATATTGTGAAAGTATGACACATGGTTTAGCTCTTTCAACACCAGTCAACCAGAGGCTTTTACTGCCATGACACTGAGTTCCCAGAGACTCTGAGGTCATAGATGATGTTTATCAAGGAAAATATCAGCTTGTAAAACATTATTACTTCTACATGTCATGAACCATTTGAAAGGTCTAATCCTAACATATTTATAAATATGAAAGTTATTTTTTATCATAGTATTCAAATAATACAACAAGAATTTAAATAAGTTAAGTTTTAATGAAAATGTAAGCTTACACATTATAATGACTTAAATGTCCAGATAAACCACAAAGGAAGCAAAAAATGCAGCAATTTTTTCTATTTGTAACATGTCATAATATCCCCCTACCTTTTTTCTTCTACATTTTCATTTTTATGGTTAACCGGTATTATCGCCAAAACCTAATGCTCATCATGTTGATCACTGGATTGTCTTGTCTAGTCTCAATTATTTACAGACCATATAGCTGGAATATTGCTGAATGTGGCATTGAACAACAACAACAACAACAACAACAACAACAACAACAAACAACAAACAACACTGACTGGCAGATTAACAACCTTTTCACATATTGTATAAAAGGTTAATGTGTTAATCTTTAAACCATACCTTTTTAAACTTATTTGTAAACAGGTTTTTTTTGCCTATGTTTATTGTATCTGCAATGTAGTCTCTCATAAACCAATGGTGGGTGGCTCGATATATTTTACCTGTATATTTTATTGATGTATATATCCAATATTGATATATATCGAGGTGAGACTTAAATAAGAAATCTGTCTGTCTGTCAACTTCAACTGACAATCTCCTGTGGAGTGGTCCACAGATCTTCATGTAGAGAGGTGTCTGATCAAAGTAAGATCAGTATTAGTGACATCTTGATCATACCTTATGTTTGACGCCAAACAACAGATCTTCTTTGTCCTTCTCAGATACAGCTGGCAGGTCAACTGCTACTCCTGGGAGATTACAGCCCTTCTTAGATCCAAGGTCTCCTCCGTTCTCAATCTCACAGATCAGAAAATTGTCACCTACAATGTAACCAGTATTGGTATAACAATTTATCATCCCAAACTGGGTTCCACAGGAGATATTGCTTGTGTGAGATCAAACAACATCTCCTAGGCAAAAAACCTGATGACGTCACAATGCTATGACATTGCTGCACAGCAAGTCTAATGGCAGTACCATTTTCAGAGATGTACATTTTTCACTGAAAAATAACGGAGAGACATTTTTGATAACAAATAGAATCTCGCCCTCGTGTCTTCTGATATCAAATATATCAACACTCTTTGATAAAAGTAAAAATATCCTCGGCAAGCCTGGGATATTTGTAACTTATCAACTCGTAATATACTTGATATGAAAAGACACTCGGGTGAGATTCTCTATCTCTCAGTAAACATAATCCTCACCAAACCACATATCATGATTCAACATACTTAAGACTCCACATTTCATAAAATGTTTTCTACAGGTGCAGGTATTGAGGAATACATAACACATCTGTGTCAATCATGAAATGCTTTATCTCAGAATGTGTACATGGTGTCTTCTTGAGGTGGTCAGATTTCATTGAAAAATAGAGGGGGAACTGTTGACAAGTCCTAACAACGGTATCATTCATTTGATTTGTGGGACTTCAAAAAGAAAGATTGGCGAACACTGCACAACGCTTTACAGGTGTTCCCATAAAATTCCTGTATTCCATTATACTTTCCAAACCACTGTAAATCAAACACGATGCTGCCCATGATGTGTGGCCAGCAAGCTTTGCTAATACATTTCCATATAATTTCCAACACAGACACCAACTAATAATGATGTCTCGAAATTTGGGCACAGACTGCAATCCATGCTGTGAGTGTGAGCATACAATGACACTCAAGCATTACCAAGTAACAGCCGCTAAAAAATTAAAACGCAATAAATAGGCTTCTGAGGACTGATTTTCACAAAGGATCCCAACTGGGTTCAACTGAAACTGATCCAGATTTAGGACTTGCATCAAAAGCAGCTTTAATTTTTTTACATTTAGATAATCATAAAGAAACCTTCAAAAATAAATTTTGTTCCAGACTAGTCCAGACAGTATTGGAAATTATAATGAATAAAATGGATAATAATGGAAATATTACACTCCACCAAGTGTGTCATATGACTTATATGAAACTTGTGCAAAATTATGTATTGCCCAGGATTTGTCCATTTTGTATAAGTTGTATGACACACTTGCTTGTAATAATCTCTATGTATGTAAGTTTGGCAACTTTTGTAATTACTTTTGCCAACTTCATTGGTTACTTTGATTAATTTGTTTGAAGACTTCTTTAAAAATCTTTATTTTGCTCTTTGACATTCTATATGTGGACATATTGCCGAACCACGCTGGGATCTACTGTATCTGGGCACTGTGATGTCATGGTCTGTTTCCAGTCTGGGTGTGGGAAGTGTTATGCACTGACAACTGGTTCAGGGCCCACTGCACAGAGCAATCTTAGAGCTACAATTATTGTAAATACTTGAGATCACGATCTTAGGCTTCGGCTACAATCGCCATCCACTTGCACAAAGCGGTTGTAGGCTAAGATCATTACAATCAAAACTTACAATTGGTCCGAGCCAATCTTAAGGAGCTAAGATCATTGTAGTCCGTGACAAAATAGCGTTCAAGTCAGGGTCTGTTTCACGCAAGTAATCAGCCTTACGTTTGGAGATTGCTTTTACATTGCATGAAACTTTATGATCGACACCTTCAACAACATGGAGAATGCACCACAGATTTAACGTTAGAAACATTGTTATTTGTGGTAATGAACCACATGACTATCAAGTCGATATCATAAAGTACTATTCCCACCTGGTTCAGAGTTGGAAGAAGTGTAAAACACCATATGTTTTTGATAATCAAGGAAAGGATAGTAACGATAGGTGTCTGCATATGATTAGCAATGGCAGTGACCTTTTCAATAACTCAAGGGCAGCTAATCTTAGTTTATACGCAAGATGGGAGTGGTTTCCTTTGGCATATCACGCTGTTAGAGTCTGCCATGCCCAATGTTTTCGATGTTTTAACATTGCAGAGCTCCTAATATATAAAGATATATGTTATTTCTCACTTAATCATTTCCTTCAAGTATTTGTGGGGTTTATTTTGTCATGTAAATTCTGCAAGGTACGATTGAAGGAGGTATGTGTTGTGCCATGATCAGTTCCACTTAATAGTTGCACAGCATGCTATGCACACTTGTAGACACTTGTAGACAACTGTAGACATTAGTGCTGGTATTGGCATACAACCTGCGATACAATATATCACGATACTAAAACTTTAGTCACGACGATATATTGCCAAAGTATTGTGCACTGAAGCTGCGATACGATACGAAGCCCGAAATAAGGGTGGTGATACGATCGCATCACGATACTAAAATTTTTAATTCTGACACCAACTGTCAAACACCTTAACATCAAAACAAAACCATTTTAAAGTATTTCGTCAAATTCCTTCATCGTTTTTCAATGTTCATTCGGAAACGAGATAATTAAGTTTATACACGGCTTTATGAATGTTAAAAACATGCGAGAGCTATGTCTGACACAGTTCTTGACTCAATAATTTTGGAGAAAACGTTTACTTATGAAGGGAAAATAAGTATGCACATACTTTAATCATTAAACAAAGTAACTCTTATTTCTTGACAGATATCGCGATTCAGCAATATTCAAAGTTAAACATCAATTGTATCGTGGCCCATTTAAAGTATTGTATCGATATATCCCGGTACGACAATGTAACACCTTGCATCGTTTCACAGTATCGGCGGCCCATGGATTGATGCATCAATATGTATCGATGAATCATCACACCACTAGTAGACAGAGTCGAATTTAAGAAATTCGTACCTCCACCATAGAAGAGTTCAAACTTAGCTAAGATCACGATCTTAAATTGATGCCATCTTACAATCGCACTAAGACCGATTTTGTGCAAAGGGATTAGGGCAATTGTACGGTGATTGTAAAGTTGATTGTTGGGGCCTAAGATAGGTTGTAACAAAGATTGTTCTGTGCAAGTGGGCTCAGACCTTCAGTCCTCAGTGAGGACTACCATCACTAGGTTTTTACTTATGCTTAGCACAATTAAACAGCACAAGGACATGGAAAGTGAAGGTTCTAATACTTGCTAATACTTCATGAAACATCCATACTTTCGCACACTGCTATATCTCACCAATTTCTCTGACAATGACGGAGATGAGGCCATCATCGATGTAGACTCTCTCGACGACCTTCATGACCTTTGTGATGTTGACGTAGTCAAGGTAGAGCACATCCTCGGAGCACTGCTCGTAGAACTGGGGGTCGGTTGTAAGTTTGATGGTGTTGCCTGTCTTCAGGGTTACCTCTGCAGAAGGGTCCTGGAATTTCAAGCACAAACCATTTTGAAACCTTCTGACTGGTCCACTCTCCCACCCAGAGTCCCATGTGGTCTCTGCCAATGGTAGCTGTCCATTTTTGGATACAGCAGATGTTTTTCTTCTGTTTCATTTTTACGAGTCTCTACATTTAGATAACCAGCCACCATGTGATAGAATGTTTAACTTTCATCAAAATATATCAGAAAACGTGAAACAGTTTTTCCTTTTTGCTTAGTTATCTTTCGATTATAGTCTTTGTGGGGTGCTTCCATCAAAATCCCAAAAGAGAGTGAGTGAGTGAGTGAGTTTAGTTTTATGCCATTTTTAAGCAATATTCCAGCAATATCATGGTCGGGGGACACCAGAAATGGGCTTCACACATAGTGCCCATGTGGGGAATCGAACTCGGGTCTTCGGCGTGACGAGTGAACTCTTTAACCAGCAGGCTTAAAAAGAAGAGTTAGGGTCACTTTGATATGTAAATCTATCTTGCCAGGCACTGATTCATTTGCAGTTGCATATCTATATTAGTTTGAAAACAATAGATAGACTGTGCAAATTTGTTTACGAACAAAAATAAGTTGGGCCACCCCTTGTTAAAGCTTGTAATGATGTAATAGAAAACCCCCACCCCCACCCTTCGACTTGTACTGATGTGATAGAGGACTCACTCCTTGCTGTGACTTGTACTGCTGTGATAGATAACTTACCCTTTGTTGTGGCCAATACTGATGTAATAGCGTACTCACCTTTGTTGTGGCTTGTACTGATGTAACAGCGAACTCACCTTTGTTGTTGCTTGTATTGATATAAGAGAACTCACCCTGTTGAAAGAGAACTCACCCCCTTGATAAGTCCTGTCCTGATCTCAGGTCCCTTGGTGTCCAGGGCGATGGCAATGGGACGAGGCTGGGTGAAAGCACTAGCGGCAGCTCTCACATTTTCAATGGTGCCCCCGTGATACTGAAACAGAATGAGTGAGTGAGTGAGTAGGTTGGACAGTAAAACATACTTTGAATGAGAGAGTAGGTGGTCAGATATAAGAGCAGGTGGCTGAGTGAGTGAGTGAGTCACATTAACATTATTTCAGCCATGAGACCAAGTTCACACAAACACACAAATCCATTATAAAACTATATTTGTTTACTTTGATATGCAGACAATAAGATATATTACAATACAATTGTTTCACCTAGACTTATAACAGTCTTATCATTTGGGAAAAGGACATGGCCACGTAGAGGAAGGTAGGAACAGCAAGTGTAACGTCTCACAACAATGAAATCATGCATGTCAAACCTACAGGGCCACGTCTACCAATGAAGGAAATATATTCATTCATGAAATTTCACAAAAGTGGTATTTTAGTTAGGTCAATGAATAGATTTATGAAATGACCTACTTTGTCCTGTGATCTTTTGTTCAATGGAAAATAACAAGGGCTGTGAATTGGCAAATAAATTGTATAGCAATATTTTGCAATTTAGTTTCCTGTATTGTGATATGTACTGTGAAGCATTGGGGGCTACAGTGTTTGAAAGTTGGTGATATTGATAGTACCAGCAGATAATATTTTCACCATATTAGATTCTGAAAATAAATGCTATGGTTCTGATAACAGCAATCTCAATATAAGGTTGGACAGTGAGTGGGGTTGGGAATAGGTCGAAATCTCACAATTGATGATTGGTTCATTATGAACGAGCAAACATTGAAAGAAATTGGTTAGCGTCATTTTTCAGATTTTCTTATTCAAGTTGTCATTGCAGATAAGTATAACATGATGTAACTTGCTACTTTAAAGTGATGACTAATATATCATGAACATCAACTTTCAGGAGCCTTCAAGAAATATTCAGTCATGGCCTTTCAGTATGAAGTGAGTTTTCTGAGAATTAAACATGTTTTCAGGCCCTGACAACTTCTAAGATATGTTCCATCGTCAAGTGTTTCAAACACTAAAACAGTAGATTCAAAATAGTTTGTGTTCAATTGTGAGAAAATGTAATCCATTGCTTGGTCGTTTGGTCACTGCGACCAATCTTCGATTATTTCAATTAATCAGAACACCACTAACAGTGAGAGATTCTTTTTTCATACACTTAACGTATGTAAAGTATGCCGACTTGTACATTAGTTATGAAGGGAGGCATCAGTTGTGAATGGAAGTCTGTGCAGATTTTCACTCGCTTGAAAGGTGTATTCAGGGGTTCAAAAATCCCATCGCCCGACGCCGGGACAAGTCAGTTTTCATTTCGGGCAATCATATAATGGTATCTTACTTGTCCGTGGGCTACTAGATAATTTCCACTTATGGTTTCAAACCGCAAATAAACTTGGATTTAATTTCATATCTTCTCAAAATGTAGCTATTAAATTTCACAATGATAATAAAGTAGATTTATCTTTCTTTGCTATTTATCCCTTTTCAATAAATAGTCCAGTAAACATTAACATCAAATACCATGTTGATTTCTTCTTTCATAATTACATCATCATAATTATGTCATAAAATCAGGGCAAGTGGAAAATTAGTCAGGACAAGTTACTTCTTAAAGTCACTTGCCCTTAAAGTGGCTTTTTAAAACAAAATTGAACCCCTGTGTATTGTGGTATACTGGTAAATAAATGTGAAAAATATGTTGCCAAAAATATGGTACATGGATTATCGTCCTTGCTGCAAGCATTATGTGCAAAGAACTACACTCAGACAGAATCCCTGAATGAGTATGGTCTTAAGCCGCTTTTAGTAATATTCTATCAATATCAAAGGGGAGGACACCAGAATGGGCTACACACATTGTACCCTCAGAATCCTTGAAACCTGTCCTCAAACAACGGACCTTCCGATCCGAAGTCAGACGCCCTGTCCCCATAACCAAAGAGGTTACCCCTGTTGGCAAGCTGACATGGATATGATGTCAAATATGGGACGACTCCACGCCTTGCTAGAATAACATATGTCAATCTGTCCACTGTCATTGACAGAGTTAAAATGTTACACACCTCATGCGTTCCATGTGAAAAGTTTAGGCGGGCAATGTTCATCCCTTCGTTGATCATCTTCTGGAGCATGGGTACCTCACGACAGGCTGGGCCTATAACACAGGTTGCACTGTTTGTAGGGGGGATATACATAAAACAGTGCTGAGAGTCAGACAGGCAGACACACAATAACACACAGAAATGACACAGCTACAGACACATCGCATTGAGGATGTACACACATCCTAAAACAAACATACAGACACCTGTACACTCACAAACATGGAAAGATGTACAGACATACTCAATCATATTCGTAACTACTCATGTCATTCCGGCAAACCGGATGGAGACTTGTACCCCTCTCGTGGCCATGATCACGACTGGGCCTTCTCTGAGCCAAACGGAACGAAGATGAAAATGGTCTAGCACTATTTCCAAGGAAAAATAACTGTGAATTTCCAAACATGGGTGCTCTTAGAAAACGCCAATTTATTTTTAATACAACACGAAAGTCACTTTAGATAAGTTTCTTATGTCATTAACAAATATCAGTAACAAGATAATTTTATAATCATGAATAATGAGGGAAAACCCATAATCGCAAAGAAACCATTTGACCTCATTTCAAATTTACTACGCACGATTTAATTGGTTTGCCACGATTCTTGGCAATAATGGCAAACTATACAGTTACAAGTCTTCTTTTAGGTCATGGAAAGAGGCGAGTAGTTACAAATGACTCCAACACACATTCAGACACTTGCATTCATGCATGGATTACTAAAGCTGACATACTTCTTTAGATACACAGACACACAAAAATTAGTTTGACAGACTCTTGTACAGACAACCCGTATGCAAACACATCTACACCTAAATGTATTACCCCTGCTATAACTAAACACACTCACAACACACCTACACCTAAATGTATTACCCCTGCTATAACTAAACACACTCACAACACACCTACACCTAAATGTATTACCCCTGCTATAACTAAACACACTCACAACACACCTACACCTAAATGTATTACCCCTGCTATAACTAAACACACTCACAACACACCTACACCTAAATGTATTACCCCTGCTATAACTAAATGTATTACCCCTGCTATAACTAAACACACTCACAACACACCTACACCTAAATGTATTACCCCTGCTATAACTAAACACACACAACACACCTACACCTAAATGTATTACCCCTGCTATAACTAAATGTATTACCCCTGCTATAACTAAACACACTCACAACACACCTACACCTAAACGAACAAAACACACTCACAACACACCTACACCTAAATGTATTACCCCTGCTATAACTAAACACACTCACAACACACCTACACCTAAATGTATTACCCCTGCTATAACTAAACACACTCACAACACACCTACACCTAAATGTATTACCCCTGCTATAACTAAAACACACTCACAACACACCTACACCTAAATGTATTACCCCTGCTATAACTAAACACACTCACAACACACCTACACCTAAATGTATTACCCCTGCTATAACTAAATGTATTACCCCTGCTATAACTAAACACACTCACAACACACCTACACCTAAATGTATTACCCCTGCTATAACTAAACACACTCACAACACACCTACACCTAAATGTATTACCCCTGCTATAACTAAACACTCACAACACACCTACACCTAAATGTATTACCCCTGCTATAACTAAACACACTCACAACACACCTACACCTAAATGTATTACCCCTGCTATAACTAAACACACTCACAACACACCTACACCTAAATGTATTACCCCTGCTATAACTAAACACACTCACAACATAAATAATTACCCTGCTATAACTAAATGTATTACCCCTGCTAGAACTAAATGTATTACCCCTGCTATAACTAAACACACTCACAACACACCTACACCTAAATGTATTACCCCTGCTATAACTAAACACACTCACAACACACCTACACCTAAATGTATTACCCCTGCTATAACTAAACACACTCACAACACACCTACACCTAAATGTATTACCCCTGCTATAACTAAACACACTCACAACACACCTACACCTAAATGTATTACCCCTGCTATAACTAAATGTATTACCCCTGCTATAACTAAACACTCACAACACACCTACACCTAAATGTATTACCCTGCTAAATAACTATAATCTAAACACTCACAACACACCTACACCTAAATGTATTACCCCTGCTATAACTAAATGTATTACCCCTGCTATAACTAAACACACTCACAACACACCTACACCTAAATGTATTACCCCTGCTATAACTAAATGTATTACCCCTGCTATAACTAAACACACTCACAACACACAACTACACCTACACCTAAATGTATTACCCCTGCTATAACTAAACACACTCACAACACACCTACACCTAAATGTATTACCCCTGCTATAACTAAACACACTCACAACACACCTACACCTAAATGTATTACCCCTGCTATAACTAAACACACTGACTAAAACACTCACAACACACCTACACCTAAATAAATGTATTACCCCTGCTATAACAAAACACACTCACAACACACCTACACCTAAATGTATTACCCCTACTATAACTAAACACACTCACAACACACCTACACCTAAATGTATTACCCTAACCAAACAACTAAACACACTCACAATGTATTACACCTACACCTAAATGTATTACCCCTGCTATAACAAAACACACTCACAACACACCTACACCTAAATGTATTACCCCTGCTATAACTAAACACACTCACAACACACTGCTACACCTAAACACACACACCCTACTATACCTAAATGTATTACCACACCTAACTATAAATGTAAACACACTATCTAAACACACTCACAACACACCTACACCTAAATGTATTACCCCTGCTATAACTAAACTCCTACACAACACACCTACACATCTACCTAAATGTGCTAACCCCTGCTATAACTAAAACACTCACAACACACCTACACCTAAATGTATTACCCCTGCTATAACTAAACACTCACAACACACCTACACCTAAATGTATTACCCCTGCTATAACTAAACACACTCACAACACACCTACACCTAAATGTATTACCCCTGCTATAACAACACAAACACACTCACAACACACCTACACCTAAATGTATTACCCCTACTATAACTAAACACACTCACAACACACCTACACCTAAATGTATTACCCCTGCTAGAACTAAAACACTCACAACACACCTACACCTAAATGTATTACCCCTGCTATAACTAAACACACTCACAACACACCTACACCTAAATGTATTACCCCTGCTATAACTAAAACACTCACAACACACCTACACCTAAATGTATTACCCCTACTATAACTAAACACACTCACAACACACCTACACCTAAATGTATTACCCCTGCTATAACTAAACACACTCACACAACACACCTACACCTAAATGTATTACTCCCTACTATAACTCACAACACACCACACCTAAATGTATTACTATAACTAAACACACTCACAACACACCTACACCTAAATGTATTACCCTGCTATAACTAAACACACTCACAACACACCTACACCTAAATGTATTACCCTGCTATATACACTAAACACATTACTACCACAACACACCTACACCTAAATGTATTACCCCTGCTATAACTAAACACCACAACACACCTACACCTAAATGTATTACCCCCCTGCTATAACTAACCACACTCACACTCACAACCCCCTAAAATGTATTACCCCTGCTATAACTAAACACACTCACAACACACCTACACCTAAATGTATTACCCCTGCTATAACTAAAAACACACTCACACAAACACACCTACACCTAAATGTATTACCCCTGCTATAACTAAACACACTCACACAACACACCTACACCTAAATGTATTACCCCTGCTATAACTAAACACACTCACAACACACCTACACCTAAATGTATTACCCCTGCTATAACTAAACACTCACAACACACCTACACCTAAATGTATTACCCCTGCTATAACTAAATGTATTACCCCTGCTATAACTAAAACACTCACAACACACCTACACCTAAATGTATTACCCCTGCTATAACTAAACACACTCACAACACACCTACACCTAAATGTATTACCCCTGCTATAACTAAACACACTCACAACACACCTACACCTAAATGTATTACCCCTGCTATAACTAAATGTATTACCCCTGCTATAACTAAACACTCACAACACACCTACGACTAAATGTATTACCCCTGCTATAACTAAACACACTCACAACACATGCCGCACCATCCCTCATCCCAACACTGACACGTGTGCACATTCACATGCATGCATGCATGCAGACACTGGCAATCACAAGAAACTAGACACACACACATACATGCACACTGACACACACACAGGCAGACGGACAGACAGACCAATGGTACAGATGATGCCGGACTTCCTGACCATGTGGGCACACACATACATACATGCACACTTACACACAGACAGACAGACAGACAGACCAATGGTAAAGATGATGCCGGAATTCCTGACCATGTGGGCACACACACACACATACATGCACACTTACACACAGACAGACAGACAGACAGACAGACAGACCAATGGTAAAGATGATGCTGGACTTCCTGACCATGTGGGCACACACACACACACACATACATGCACACTTACACACAGACAGACAGACAGACCAATGGTAAAGATGATGCCGGACTTCCTGACCATGTGGGCACACACACACACACACACACACTTACACACAGACAGACAGACACACAGACCAATGGTAAAGATGATGCCGGACTTCCTGACCATGTGGGCACACACACACATACACGCACACTTACACACAGACAGACAGACAGACAGACAGACAGACCAATGGTAAAGAAAGACCAATGGTAAAGATGATGCCGGACTTCCTGACCATGTGGGCACACACACACATACATGCACACTTACACACATGCATGCACACTTACACACACACACAGACAGACAGACAGACATACCTATGGTACAGATGATGCCGGACTTCCTGACCATGTGTGGCTCGGAGTCGATGTCCAGGCAGCACATGTGGTCGATGTGGGAAGTAGCCTGGGCGGCCTGGAGCTGTTGACACTGCAGGTAGTAGTCCCCCTTACATTCCTCATCCTTGATGTTGAACTGTAACACAAACAACACTGTTACCATGGTCACGTCATAGGTTGAATGGTGACACAAACAACACTGTTACCACGGTTACATCAGAGGTTTAACAGTTGCACAAAATTGCCATGGTTACATCACGGGTTGACTGGTAGTATATAATTTCCATAGTTACACCACCGGTTGAACTGTGTTATGAAATTACCATGGTTACACCACAGTTGAACTTCATAACACACACTGTAACCATTTATACATTACAGGTTGAACTGTCACACAATCCTCACCGTAATCATGAATAAATTCCAGGTTGACCTCTAGTGTACACACTGTTACCAAGGCCATAGATTTAACCTTGTAGTCTTCTGTTGAGACACCTGCTTCATGGGATTCCAGCAATAATTCATTGATTGGGACATAATGTTTAAAAACGCTCAGTTGGATATCAGGCTCATTCATGTAGATGGATTTATTGAATGTAACTAGTTTACATTACTGTTATTTTACATTACCACAACAGCTGTTTTGATTACTGAATATAAAACATCCTGATTTCATTGCCTGATGCGTTTCACTTTAGTATATGCCTTTCATTGCCAGAACTTTACAAATTCAATCAGATTCAAGATCACACATTTTTGCAATAACAGTCATCATATGGATAATTGTCAGTGCTTTTTCAAGGCAACAAACAATTCAAGGCCAACTAGCTGTTATAAATGGTTAAGAAATAAGATCAATTAGAAATGGTTAAGAGATAAAAGCCTTAAGAAATGGTTAAGAAATAAGACCAATTTGAAATTTCTTTTCATGATAATGTCAACACAGTCTTAAAAGTCTTCTGATAATGTCAAAGATGTTTCTACTTTGAATAATCATGGCAGAATCACTTACCAAAGTTAGGATGTGAAACACAATGCTATGCATGGCACAGCTGACATTTTTACGATGGTGATTTTTATTTGGATTTCAAGATGGCCACCATGTCTGACAAGTTGCATGTTTTGTGACAAATCATCAAAACAAATACTATTTACCTTACAAAGAGCACACCTTGTCACTAAATGAAATTTCAACTTAATGTTCCACCATACTCACACAACTCTTACAGATATAATTAAATATAAATAAAAATCATTCTTGATCACATACGTTTTGTGGACATAAATATCATTCAAAATAATCAAATGGAATTTGATGAGTTTTCAGAGGGACCAGGTGGTGGTGGTGGTGGTGGTGGTGTACTTATATTCTGTGACCTTGACCTTCTCATGACTATTGTTAACGCAGCTCAAGACAAACAGAAAGATACCCTTCAATGTTGACATTGCTTTTCTCAGGTTCATAAAAAACAGGCACTGACCTCATACAAGCTATATTTGATTTACCACATGGCTTCTCAGCCAGGGAAACTGAATAATGACTTAAATATTAATGCATTATTTGATTGTTAGTACAGCCAAGTAAAGACATGCTCCAAAAGCAGTCAAAATCCAGAAGAGCTTGAATCAGCCATGATCTGGTGGTTGATCTAATCAATACCTAGAAGTAGTATGTTCACTTCGACACTGACAATAACTGACCAATAAAAAAGCGTGTTGGAATATCATGCAATTCCTTATGCTAATACCAGTGATAAATCTACAAATTCAACTGCCTGAGTCCCGGGACTCACTGAGCTGAATAACTATGAGTCCCTCAGAACTTTTATGAGTCCCTAACAAAACTTAATGCCACCAATATTATTCAAACTGGTTTATTGTTACTATAGGTTGCACAGGTGAGTCTGACCGGTCTGGGATATTTCACAGAACAGAGCTGGTAGTACCTAAATCGTAACAAATGGAGACTCTTCCATTTTAACTTGTAGTTCATACCCTATCACATCAAACACAGATGTTAACAGATCACTGGCAGTGGTTGGAGAATCATAGTTGATTTTACCTTCCTTGAGAATTTCAGTGTCTTCGTTTTCAAATTCATATAAAAGTCAACAAAACGTTTAAACTTTGTCAGTGGGATGTTTTCACAAGCTAACCAATGAACAGATTTCATCAAGGTGACAGCTGCTTTGTCTTGTTTTTCATACATACGAGCAGTTGCAACCTGGAAATCATCACAAAGTTTTGGAGCCTGAACGGACAGTTTATTATCATTATGATGAGAAGTTATATTTTAAAACTTTCTGCATTTAGCATCTTGTGTCATACCATTTTCAGTACATAGTTATTAAATAGTACAAAATATTAAATCACCTTCCCTGTCATAAGTCAGCCATAACCGATGAGTATCAGGCCAACCTGACTGAAATGTCCTAACTTTGTGTTTTCTGACAGTATCTATCTCAGGCGGCATGTTGACTGCTATATTATAAAAATAACAGCAGGGCTCTAGACCTTTGACAATCAAATGTTTTCTTTTACTAGAAAAATAAAAAAGTTACTAGCCAGACCAATGTAACTTCACTGTAATATTTTGTGCATAAAGTTCTACAATTCCAACCAAAGTTTTGTTTTATTTCTTCACTCTGTTCAGTGATTCAAAAACAAATTACATCAAAAGAAATATGCCAACTGGAAGCCACTTTAACAAGTATGAACACAAATAGTAACTGTCTTACTTTAACTATTAACATTAAACAAATTATATCATAAATGTCATCATAATTATAAATGAAATGATTCATTTATATGATTACTTTCCCAGGACTTGAGATGCAGAACCTTAAACAACAGAATGACATTCTGTCTCAGCAGAAATTTAACCTGTGAAATGTCACTTTCACTTTCAAATTACATGCAGATAGATTTAACAGTTGTTAAGCTACTGACTAAAGCTTCCTGCTTTTCTCTAACTGGTACTGAGTGCTCAGATTTTGTCTTGACACTGTTGATTCAGAGTCACAATGTTCATTGACCAATCAGTTTGTCTTGAAAAACCTCATTTGCATATCGCTTACCTCCCTTAGCCTGTTTGTGTCTATTTATAGAGTGTAAAAAACTAGGTTAGTAGTTCTGCACATGCTCGAGCAATGAATCTTGGGATCTCATTTGCATACCGCTTACCTCCCTTGGTGTGACCTAGATGTCTATTTTTGGAAACGCGGAAATGAACTTAATATCATGACGAATGAAAGCTGCGATCGTTTTACAAATAATGTGTACTTATTAGCTCATGTCAATTATTTGAGAATGGAAGTTAATCTACGGAGATTTAGCCATGTATACTTTGATATTGCCTCTCCACAAAAATAAACATTAGTGTTTCATCAAAAGCTTGCGTCCAAGAGGACGCACATGTAAAATAAATATGAGTCCTGTCAGAATTTGTTGCGTCAGAGACGCGGGACGCAGGGGTAGATTTATCCCTGAATACTGGAGCAAACGGAACCAAAATAAATAATAAAAGCATAATTGAACTGATGGTAACTAGTGCAGCACTAAAGGTCACTTGAAAGGTATAGTATGGCATTCTTTGGCATCAGCATGCCACCCAACAATCACTATGCACAGCAACATAGATCAGTCTGTAGAGGCAGCTGCATTCGCCTCTTTCCAAGACCTACAAGAAGACTCGCACCCCTATCGTATGCCATTATTGCCAAGAATCATGGCAAACCAATCAAATCGCCCGGAGTAAAACACATTTCGAGTGGTGGTGGTGGAATTGGGTTTAACGTCGTGCTTGAGGATATTTCGCTCATATGACGACGTGCATGCGTGTGTATGTGTATGTGCGGCTGCTTGTACTAGTCCAGACTTAAACTGGTTTTATAGTGCTAGCCCACTGACATACCATGCCGCAGTGAAGCATGAATACCCCACTCAGACACATTATACTGACTCCGAGCCGACCAGTCCTTGTGGTACCCATTAATGCCGAGTGCCAGGCAGGGACCAACAAGTACCATATTTTAACGTCTTTTGGTATGACGCGGTTGCGGATCGAACCCACGACCTTCCGCACGCTGGGCGGACGCTCTAACCACTACACCACGGAGGCGGTCACATTTCGTGTAGTGTGTTATGAGGTCTCAGTGCACATAAACATTTCTGTGATGTAGTACCCATGAAACCATAGCAACACAGAGACGCAGCTGATCCTTGTTTACAAGAGCTGTCATAGCTGAAACGTGTCTATAAATAGCAATGTTTTGGTGCCACAGCTATTCAAAATTTCGAAGAAAAATGAGCTCACATACTTATGCTTATAACATTAGATTTATTGTTGATTTATTTCTCAAAAATTAACTTGCACCTGGTGCAAGTTTGACTAATAACTAGGTTGCTCTTTGTAATATTGGGTTGCACCAGTGCAGGTAACAAAGCACTAAATTGAGCCCTGCGATGACATGCATCAACCAAATCAATGAGCCTGACCATCAGTCACCTCTGTAGACAAGCATGGGTTGTTAAAAACCAGTCCTTACCCGGATCTTCAGTCACACCTTAACCACTATTGTGGAACCCACAAGACAGAAAATGGAACTTCAAGCCTAGAAGCCCACATTAGATGTGTCAGGCTTTTTAAAATACCTGTAATAACTATGACTACAATGAATACACCATGAAGCAAACAAGACTATTATGAATATATGGTAATGCATACGAACATTTCTTCCCGATTACAATAACAAGTGAGCAGTTGATGTATTATTTATCACATTCAGTGAAACAATAACACAATAGAAACATTGCAACACTGAAGCTTATAGCCTGATGTTTTGGTTGACAGTACTGTAAAATTATGTAAATGAAAGGCTTATATATATTCCATTTTGAATATCTTGCCTTCAATAAATAACAGAAAAGTTCAAGTAAAAAAACATAACGTTTATAAAAATAACGTAATTATTCAATTCAAGTGACTGAAAAAAGGGATACGGTTATAATCACAAATATGATATGTAAGCGAATTGTAACAATAAGTACATGACTGCAGATGTAACCATGCCTTGGACTGACTGAGGTTAGTTTTACGCCGCTTTTAGCAATATTCCAGCAATATCATGGCGGGGG